TAGAAATTAAGTGAGATTGTGGGTCTGGTTTTCACTTACAGATTATGTTTAGTTTAAAAGTGAATAATTTTGAATGTTACATGACATCCAGTTTCAAAAAGACACACGTTCCTGGTTTCGGTGGTTAATTAAGCCTTAAAGTCACCATTAAATCAAAATGGACAATTCCTGTTTTTTGTTGTTGTTGTTTGTTTGTTTTTTAATGGAATATTGCAGTATTTATTATAAATTATTTAACTATGCAGTGCACATCATACTTTTTCTTAATTCATGTGCCCTTTCAGATTTAAATCAAAATAACGATTATGAGTAATTATTAACTGATAAGACATTTCTCACTGCGCCATAATGGGACAATCTGTCACTCACATAAGATTGAAGCAATAGCAAACCACAACCATCCAATGATCCAATCAATTCTTGATGGACAAAATGAAGCCCCACCCTAAAAATGTCTTGTTCAAGAAGCTGTTACACATGGATATACATACATATACATTATAATAGAACTTCCGTTAGGATAAGACAAATGCACCAGTCCATATAGATGAAATTCTAAAAACATATAAACAAGTGAAGCTTACAAAGATTTTTAAAAGACATAAGGATACTAAACTCTAATTTTAATCTTTATTTTGTTTTATAAGTAATTGAATAGAAGGATGAAAAAAGAAGAGGCGTTCTACACGCACCTGCTCATCGTTCACAGTTTAATGCATTCACAGTAGAAGCCACTAAAATCACAATAATAAATAAAGAGTAGGTCCAGAACGTGCTGTGTCTCAGCGAGAGGAGAGCAGCCTCATTTACACCTCAGAGAGAGAAGTGAATTTATATGCGGTCTCTAGGGTGGAAACCAGCGTAATGACTTGTCAATTAGTTCTTATAATATCTAAGAGGCATTCAGAACAGAGTTGACAGATTTTGTTGACAATAAAGTGAGGTCTAGAAACAGTAGCTCAAAGTTCCCCCTGGGACATAACTATGAAGAAAAGCCAGGGAGTTTATTATGGAGAAGGGATGTCAGATAAATTGCAGATGCTTTTTATGCTGCTAGCATTATGATTGACAGGATTGTATGAATGAAATGTAGCACTTCAGTTAGAAACTATTAAAAAGACTCTTAAACTGCTACTGAATTTTTAAAGAGTATTAATGATAAATGATGGCTCTAATGCATTATATCCTGTTTGGATAATGCACTATTACAAGTTTGCACAAGCAGATAAAGCCTCCTATTATAGTTCTTTAGAGAATCAACTTTTGAGAGATGGGGAGAATATAAGAAGTGTATAGAATATTGAGAATAAGAAGAATATTGAGTTGAATATATTACTGAATGAGAGAATTCTCAGCGGGTGGACAGGGCGCCTGTTTGTTCTGTTGTAAGGAAGCTTGGTTGTACAAGAGATTCAATATGCTAGATGCTGAAGAAATGATCTTGCCGGGAAAAAAACTTTTTCAGCATTTGCTCTAAAAACAGATTCAGACCTGAAATGTTATAATGTAAAATAATGTATTAATTAATATCATCTCCAGGCACTCATCAATTAATTTTGTCAAATGTAGAGGACATTTGTTTTGTTTTCTCTCTCAAAGGAAAATGCCCTATATATCCTGATGAATACTCTCTCCTTTCTTTTTTTCTTTTCTTTTTTTTAATTGGCTGACTCGACAGTTAAAAAAATTATATATGAATAGAGGAACCAGCTATATTTTATTTTGCAACAATTGTGTTTGCTTGATTTGCCAATAGAGGGTATGTATTGACGTCACTTTGTTTCCGCCGGAACACGCCCCCCTCAGCCAAGTGGCAAAAGAGCTGCTGCATGACTGGATTTAATAGGAGAAACTGTGAAAAAGTGAGTAAAACAAACGATTATCAATTTAAACTAAAGATTGGAATCGATATAGGTGTTCCAATCCTTACAACTTACCAAAGATCCAGTGATCCATGGATATTGACATGCAGCCAGGAATCGTGTTTCCTGACATTTATATGTGCCTGATTTCAACGCCGGGGAAATACATAAAGCAAATTTGCCTGTGAATGCTTTATATAAATACAATATTGGTCTAAATCCAGGTGATCACTCATATCAATGTTATATATATTATCATATTGTCCAGCCCTAAAACTTGTGTAGTTTTTTGTCAGTGTTTATTTACAAACATCCAATTATGCAGAATATACGATGATAAATATTGAATTGATCAGTTGTCAATACAATATTGTAGTGTTGGGACTCGTAATGAAAAGAAATAAACAAGGAGAGAGGACGAGTAGTTTACAACAGTTCCTGTTTTAGATGTGTTTTGTGTGTTTTTCGCGGCATTCACGCTGAAAACCAATGCTGCCGGCTCAGTCATTTTGACACTCAGTGGGCGTGACCGCAGTCACTCCGGCCGACGGTGACGTCACACGCATACCCTCTATAACATGCCAAGTAAATTTCTAAGCAGATTATAGCCCCTGTCACACAGAGTCTTTACTGGTAAATTACAATGTGAATAAGGCCTTTTCAAAAAATACTGGTAAATCAGGTCTATGCTATGATGCTATCTGTAAACAAAGCATGAGACTACCTGTATGAACTTGTACAAGATCAGGATGCTCTAACTTAAGAAGACTGCTTTGGACCAATCATAAAGCTCAGATGCAATGTACAGTAATTTCTGCTGCTTTTTAATTGTTTTTCAGTGTAAACATGTGTAAGTTGTATGTCTTTGCCCATTGTGCCGCGTCTCAAGCAAGATCACCACGTTTTTCAAAATGCGTCTTAAAGGGATACTCCACTTTTTTTGGAAATAGGCTCATTTTACAACTCCCCCAGAGTTAAACTGTTGAGTTTTACCGTTTTTGAATCCATTCAGCCGATCTCCGGTTCTGGCGGTACCACTTTTAGCATAGCTTAGCATACATCATTGGAGTGGACAAGACCATTAGCATTTCTAAAAAAAAAATGACCAAAGAGTTTCGATATTTTTCCTATTTAAAACTTGACTCTTCTGTAGTTACATCGTGCACTAAGACCGACGGAAAATGTAAAGTTGCGATTTTCTAGGCTGATATGGCTAGGAACTATACTCTCATTCCTGCGTAATAATCAAGAAACGTCACTGCCGTACCATGAGAGCAGCAGGCGTAATGATATGACGCAGCGCCTGAAAATAGTTCCGTTGTGTTGACGGAAGGTGGCCTATTTTCAGGCGCTGCGTCATCATATTACGCCTGCTGCTCTCATGGTACGGCAGTGACGTTTCTTGATTATTACGCAGGAATGAGAGTATAGTTCGCAAAAAAAACAAAAATAAAACGACTTTATTTCAACTATTCATTTCCTTCTCTGTGGGCCTCGAGTCAGTTCACTAGTGTAACAGCGTACACTTCTGTTGTTGTACGTCACACGCATCACGCACATGACCAGCGTCGGCCAATAGTGAGCCTATGTGTGACGTAGCTCTACGGAATCACACTACGTTAACTGACTAGAGGCCCAAAGAGAAGGAAATGAATAGTTGAAATAAAGTCGTTATTTTTGTTTGTTTTTGCGCACAAAAAGTATTCTCGTCGCTTGATAAACTTAAGATTGAGCCACTGTAGTCACTTGGACTATTTTAATGATGTCTTTAATAACTTTTCGAGGCCGGCAAGTTCAATCCCTGAAGAAGCCTATGGACTAGTATGGAGGAGTGATCCAGCTCTCAGATTTCATCAAAAATATCTTAATTCGTGTTCCGAAGATGAACGAAGGTCTTACGGGGTTGGAACAACATGAGGGTGAGTAAATACTGACAGAATTTTCATTTTTTGGGTGAACTATCCCTTTAACGGTATTTTGGTGCTGATGTATGAATGGTATCTTAACAGTAAAAATGCGTAACAAATTTGCCTGTGTGAACAGCACATTTGTGTATTTAGTAAATACACAATCACAATTTTCTTATAGAAGAAATAAAAAAAATCCTAATAAATAAATGTTTTTAATTTTTTTTAAAAATTAATAAATAAAAAAAAGTGCATATGCTTTTCACTACAAGAGACCGTTCTATATGCGCTGCACAGAATTGCATTGAAGCGCGCGCACACACACATACGTTACTCGCACACACAGAAACATTCAGGAGCACAAAAACTTATCAACGCCGCCCTCCGACTTTTAGCTTTAGACAATAGCTTTGCTACTGAATCGCTAGATTATATTTCTCAGCAACAAGCAGGTTACATCGCTATTTTAAGTAATTAAACTCACAGATTCGTTGTTAATAGAGAGAGAGAGACACTGAAAAGGTGCAGGTACGCATCTCTCATCTCTCTCGATAATTAATTCAAATAAATGCTAGAATTCATTCATCCAAATAAATGTAATCTTACGCACTACTTTATCTCTCGATCTAACCGTAACTGACTAAAATAACCATCAATTGTACCCTTCCAGTCAAATATTGCACTGCAAACATCAATAACAGCTTCAAGTTGTCAATGTTGACAAATGACCATGTTATAAGCAAGATCATCCACGGCTAGCTGTGCATTAAACGATTTGAATGCATTTCCGCAAATGCATCACCGAATGGAATTTCAATTTTTTTTTTTAAACATGTTTCACTTCCTGTCTGTCATTGATCAACACTGTGCTCTAAAGCATTCAAGATTAATGACAGTTTAAATTAGAAATTAAATTTTCAGGTCTACGCTCAAAACGTGATTAAATGGATTATAAATACAGCGTACATATAATTAAGTACCATAAAATCCCCTAGAAATACATAATATTAAATAAAAAGCATAATCAAACTAAAATATAGTACATTCATTTCATAAAAAATAAATTTAAAAAAACTATAATTTTTGACTGACACGCATAGAGCACCAGAGTTAACCGGAGGTTATTTTTTAACCAAAACATTAATGTACAGAGTAACATTTAGTAAACTCAACCCACAGACTTTCTCAAGTTCATTGAACTACTATAAACATGTAAAGCTCACACACTCACCGTCCTTGCGGTGGTAGGTGATCTCCACTTTGCGTTCCTCCGAGCCCAGGAGAGCCTGTGCTACCTGCGCAATAGCATGCCGGTTGGTCAGCTGTCCATGCAGGAAGTCGCAGGTGCACGGCTTCTGCATGACATCCGGCCTGGAAAACCCGGTCATCTCACAGAAGGCATCATTGCAGTAGATGATGGCACAGTTCTGGACGCGTGCATTTGCTATGACAAATCTCTTGTCTGTAGAAATGGGCAGAAAAGAGTTATTTGGATAAAGAAAGCGTGTAAAGGGAGCTGAGGTGAAAGGATATAGAAAACCATTCTTAAAGCTTTTATAAAGGAGCACTTGTGCTTTTGGCAGTGTGTGCTTTTAGAGAAAATGTAGGACTGTAAATTTGAGTAATTAGGCCAAATTCTCTGCCGTTACACTATGGTTATTGACAAACTGCTATTCTGCCATTCAAACTAATGAGGATATTAGCACAAACAACACAATCTATGTTTTAGCATTTGTACACAACTAATATAAACCTACCATCCGTGCAGGATGGAAATAAACCTCACTGCATCAAGAAAACATGAAAGTATGGAACAATTTAAAGGAATATCCAGGGTTCACTATGTTAATCTCAATCAACAGAATTTGTGGCATAATGCTGGTTACATTTTGTATGTCTTTTTGTTTAAAAAAAAAAAAAAAAAAAACTAAAATCGGAATTACAGCGAGCCCCAGTACATTAGAAGTGAATAGGTCTAATTGTTTCAAAAGTATAAACACAATATGCATTGTTGGCATGATTTTAGTGTGAAAACACAATTGTTTATTAACTTTTTACCCTGTAAAATTATGTCTAATTTCCCAATGTATCACCATGGCAATGCAATCCTAAAACCCTGAAATGAGTATAAAGATTATTTAAACAGATTTACAGATCAAATAGTATGAATAACAAGATTAAATAAGTGGTTCACATTTCTTTTCAATTCTCAAAATTTTAAATCAAATCTGGAAATCAACACTGACTGAGATTACCTGAACCCTGAATATTCCTGATTAAGGAACATTTTGCACATATGGTCATGTCACCAAATGTATAGACGCGCACAATACGGTCTCAAGCTAACACCTTACGCCTATTTTTAGTCAAAAGAAAACCTTTATGCTTGCTTGTGTCCTCCATGTTGTCTAACAGAAACGGTCCTTCTATAACAGTTTTGTTTGAGAGAAAACAGCAGAGACAGTAACACATGGAAGAGTAAGAGTTTTGGCAGTGGACAACTCAACTGAGTGCCTGTGGTAGTGCGAGTAAACATTAACACTCAAACACATCACAAACGGAAAATTTTTCAAATGCTGACATGATGTCAGCCGAACACTGAACAACATTAATGGACAGTTTCCTCCCTATAACGTCTAATGGAGAAAGAGTCCAAACACTATCCAAAATCTATTGCGCTGTTAACCACTTAACTAATCAATGTTTACATCAATGAGAAACGGTAACAGTACAGCACTAATAAATCAAAGTATCAATTTCTAAGTTTGGATATCGGAGAAAGGATTAAACAAGTTGTACTGTCAGTGCGTGGAGGTAAATTCTCACTATTTAGAGGTCACACTAACCGCGACCGAATCGCCCCACATGCAGCTTTTATTGTTGCAATGAAGTAAACAAACATTACTGCAACATCTGGAAGGTGACACTCACTTTGACCCTCGAATTTGCGGATAATAATCCCGAGAAATGTGTTCTGTGGCGCGACGTGACCTCGTCGCACAGGCATGATTGAGGGCAGGCTGTGCGCGAGAGCCGCTCGATCGCGCGCCCCTTTGAATCCTTTGAATGAGCTTCACGAGCGCAGCGCGAGGAAACGGGTCTCTTTGGGGATCATTCCGGCGACGTCTTCTCCTTCTTTCCACCGCTAGATTGTCGCTTTCCGTGATTCATTCCCGTTTTGGTCTTCGCCGTTAGTCGTTGTTTAAAACGAAAGACGAGAAAACGAGGCGCTCTGCTTGGAGCAGCATCTCAATCGAACTAAAACCCACCAAATGTGACGAACGGACACAAACTGACAGCAGTGACGTCTCTCCGCGAGGGGCCCTCGCGCGACACTGTGCAAGGAGATGCGCGAGGAAACGGTCTCTGTGTTGCGCGAGAGAAGCCCTGGAGGAGGGCACAGTTCACACGGATCGCTATCCGCAAACGTCAAACAACACGTAGGATTTCCATGACAGTGACCTTAAGAGCGGCTGCGAGTAAATTAGACAGGTCAATTACAGTGTGATTTAGATCTATCAATTAAAAAACGTTTATGCATAAAATACGATGGCAAAATTTTAACGTATCAAACGATAGTAGGCTAATAGTAAAATGGTTTCGGCCCTTCAGTGCTTATTCGCATGTGTGGTAAATTTGGGACTGTCCGTGGTGCTGGAAATAGGCCTACTCCTGTTGGTATCAATCTCGACAGCGTTCTTCCTATAAACAGTTTAAAATAAACTTACAAAAAGAGGATTTCACATTAGGCTAATTTAGGCAACATTAATGTGTTTTATGAAATAACATACAGCCTTCATAATAATAGCAAAGATTGGCCAAATTAACTTTCAATAAAAGACTAATTAGGAAGCAAAAAAAAAGTCGGGTGAAGTATAAGAAAGAAGGGAAATTTGAAGGGAAAAATCAAACGTTTCTTTGTTTAAAAAGCAAATTTGGACAACTGATATGTACACAGTATCGCCTTAAGCTACTTCTTTATTAGCCTACTGGAACAACTTAGTAATACGTTTGTGTCGATCCACCAAAATACACTCTCTTCTGAGGAATCTCTTAAGATAGAATTATGTTAATTAAAGCAATGTAAGGCCTTATCCATATTCAAGTTTATTCAACTGTAACACAAATAAATCACGTCAGCACTTTCCGTCACTTACACGCTGCCTGGTTTACTGCAATTAAATGTTTGTTTAGATATCATTAATGCGTCTCAGTGACCTCTGATGTCATGGAAATGTGAGGAAAACGGGAAAACCCCGCCGAGGGAGAGATAAAAGGAGGGAGAGATAAAAGGAGAATAAATCAGTGCTGGCATCTAGTGGTGACAAACATGCATTAGAAGAATGCATTATGGAGCTGACCTGCTGGCAACAAAAGTAGCCTAGTACAAAAAAGTAAATAACGCAGTAAACAAAATGTGATAGATATACACCATTATTCTAAAGTTTGTGGACGGTAAGTTTTTTTAAAATGTTTTTTAATGGTGAGCAAGCACGTATGCTGCTCACCAAGGCTGCATTTATTCAATCCAAATACAGAAATATTGTGAAATATCATTACAATTTAAAATAATAATTTTCTATTGAAATATATTTTGCATTTTCTATTGTAATATAAATGTAATTTATTCCTGTGACGCAAAGCTGAATTTTGAGCAACCATTATACGGTCTTACTTCAGAAATCATTGTGATTTGGTGAAAAAAGAGCAACAACACCAAACAAACAGTGCACATAGGCCTACTTTTGTTCACCAGTTGGAATCCCTTGAGCTGTTGCCATTATGTTAAGCCAGTGTTAAAGGGATAGTTCACTTTGAAATAAATTTTTGATATGTTTTAGCTTACCTCAAGGGCATTCAAGATGTAGGTGTCTTTGTTTCCGCAGTAGTTTCAATTTTGATATTTTTAGGTCAAACCGTTCTTGTCTGTCAGTCATATAATGCAGGTCTATGGTCACTTCCTCAAAGAGCATGCACAGAGAAGTCCAAATTAAACATGATTTAATGACTCGTAAATGTAACATTGATGGCCTAAGACACGAAACGAGCGGTTTGTGTGAGAAAACGAACAGTATTTATATAGTTTTTACCTCTTGTAACGCACAGACCGAAGCGCCCGCGCCCTCAGACTTGGACGTGGCTGTGGTTACAAGAGTGGCTTGGTTAAAAAAACGATATAAATACTGTTCGTTTTCTCACACAAACCGCTCGTTTCGTGTCTTAGGCCATCAATGTTACATTTACGAGTCATTAAATCATCTTTAATTTGGACTTCTCTGTGCATGCTCTTTGAGGTGGTGACCATAGACCTGCATTATATGACTGACAGACAAGAACGGTTTGACCTAAAAATATCAAAATTGAAACTTCTGCGGAAACATAGACACCTACATCTTGGATGCCCTTGAGGTAAACTAAAACATATAAAAAAACAATTTCAAAGTGAACGATCCCTTTAAAAGAATGCACTGAGGGAATCTCAAAATCTAACATTTGTGAGTTTTGTGTCAATTAATGATAATATGAATATAATATGAAACAGCAATGTTCTTCAGTAAGTGTGCGTCTTTGTGAATGATGTGCATGTTCTTGTTAAACTGTCCAACTGTCAAGTTTATGTCAATGTGTGAGAGAAAGTGTCAGGCATACATTGGGACTGAATGTAAATCAATAAAGAGATTTATCTAGTGAAGCACTTACAGAAAACTAGCCTTCTCCTTCATTAATTATCAGTGCAACTCATCAATATTCAACTGTATGCAATATTCACAAGAATGAAACATAGAAAGTGACACAGACCCCTGTGGTAATGTCTGCTCCACTGTAATGGAGAGGTTTACTGGTACATAAGGAGACACGTGTGTATATATGTGTGCCAATGTGCATGTGTGTTTGTCAGGGTTTGAGCCACTGCGGGAAACTAAGTTGTAGTTTCTCATAAATGCATAATAAAAATACATAGTACTCCACAATCCAATTTGATTTCTGTCAATTGTTAAAACAAAGGGAAGAAAAGAGGAGAGAGTTTGTAAGAGAATGTGTGTAATAGTGATTTGTTATTTATAGGTTGTGCTAGTGTGGAAATTGGTTTAGTTGAATGTGTAATTCTGAGCAAATTAATTGATAAAGCTGGTTTTAAAATTTAAAATTGAAATGACACTTCTTATCAATTCAACTTTACATCCATCTCTAAAATTCTTGTTAGATTTATGATAAAAAATCAAATAAAAAAACCGGCAGCAGTGGTTGCCAGACTTTTACCATAAAAATATGATTACAATTCCTCAGGTATTATGGGATGGCATTTTAGTGCCTGTATAAATGTACAGTTCATGAAATTATAGCCTACATCATTAACTTATATAGTCTTAATAAAAAACATTCTACATCTACAAAAATGCAACATAAAACACCACAATGTGCATAAGTAATATACAAAATAAGAAGAAACAAACGACACTAAATAAATTAGATAATGAAATGTGATGAGTGTCAATTACGTTCTGTCTTGTCTGCACCTGTTCTTGTTAGTCCCTGATTAGTTAATCTTCCTCCATCTGTGTCTAGTTAGTTCCCTCATTTCATCCTGTGTATTTATACTCCCTGTTAGAGCATGTTCAGTCACTTGGCGGTTCTCATCAATGTTATATGTGGTTGTTTCTGTTGAACTTAAGCAGTAAAGTGTGTTTTTCAGCCTCATCTTTGTCGTGTGTGCTTTCAACAACCACCCAGTCGTTACAATGTGACACTGAGCGATGCCCTTTCACTGCTTTTCATTAGGTTAAAAACAATACTGTTAACAATATTTTACTGTCATGGTACTTCTATTGTCTTGTTCACAGTAAATTAAAAAAGTAATTTATACAAAAAATATTTTACAGTAATTTTATTTAAAACCTGATGAGTTAGTTCAACTCAAACCGTTTGAGGAAACCGATTGCCTTAAATCATTTAAGTTTATTAACTCAAACAATTTAAGCTTAAAAAAATATTTGATTTGTGTTCAAGTAACTCAATAACTTATTGTTAAGATAATTTGGGTAAATAAAGTTAATAGTACTAATTCCATTTAGTTAATATAACTTGAATCTATGAAGTACACTGTAAACCCAAATAAGTTGGCAGAACTCAAAATACTTTTATTAGTATAAACTTAGTTAGCTTTAAAAAACTAATCTGCGTGCTAACATAGTAAATGCTAACGTATTAGCAATAGTATGTTATACAGAAACACTTGCTATATGAGCACAGCAATATAAATGGATTATTTGCTCTCAAATCAAGCTGCATGCACCACTTGTCACCATGATGGTAACTATCCTAAAGCCAACATTAACAGAAATTCTTCTAAATTAGCATAACAAAACATGAATCACTACTAAATCTCACACATAACATTAATCTTACACACAAAAAAACATTATATTACACTTAATTTAAGCATTTACTCTCCCTTTCGAGTGCCATCGGCAAAGCATGCTGGGAAATAGACATCCCAGCTGTTTCAGTTAAACTTAAGTTCGTCTAAATTAAAATAAATAATTTCATAAAACTCAAAACAATGAAACAGTTCAGTTTACTTAAAATATATCAGTTCAGTGAACTTGAAAGAAAAAGAAAGTGCTAAATACTCATAAAAGTTAATTTGACTGAACAAATTTGTTTAATTTAAGTTTGTCCTACTCAAACCAATTAATTATTTTGAGCATTAGGGTTTACAGTGTGTAGAATAAAATTACAAATCTAATCTGTGAAATCAATTTTCAAACAATGTTTGGTAACACTTTTTACAACCTTAATAATAGGTTGTTAACTATTTTGCATGTACCGTATTTTTACATTTATCTTTTGGTAGATATTCTTACATTTAAACTTATATTTACATCTAAATCATTACAACCCTCGGAATAGTTCTAGTATGTTATTGAATATGGCAATGTTCTGTATTTGATCTTGGTGGACTAGATCTGGGGTGGATGCTGCAGAGCAAGTATGGGCTTGCTACTGCTAACAGATGCACCGGCACGCTGCTGTGAACATGTAAGACATGCTGCTGCTGCATAAATAGACATACATAAACCCTGTAGCAGATCTAGGGAGGTGGAGGGTTTCAGAGGAACTCCGATAGCTCGCTGCAGGACTAAAGTACAGCAAACAGTGAACGAGACTATTTAAATGTTGATTGCATGTAAAGGACCTACACCCTGTTTTTTTCTAGCCTAACTAGATATTTAAGTGACTCACAGTACATGTGACGAATACAATAAAGCAGTTTTATTCAAATGGAGGACCTTCCATCCGGACCGGGGGACATAATTGTGCCATTTTACCATTAAAGTGAGCAGCGCGTCAAAACAACGGAGCGGTTCACACCACAAGCACTCAGGGTTGTTTATGGTAATGATCTT